AGGGGAGAAGAAACCCCCACACTTTCAAAACCAGGAGATCATCTGTAGAACCGAGAGAGACACCATGCTAATAAATCACACTAATTTTACTTCCGCCCCTAAAAGAGAGGGGAACAGAATGTATTCATCCCTGTGTTCCATCTAGTAGCCTTAAACCTGATTCACAGTCTGCCACGCGAAAACCAGGTTGATTTTATTTCTTCGCAAAAACTTATTTTAATATAATTCACCCAACACATGCGTAGTCTGCATAGTAATGGCACAAAGTTAGGAAATGTACGCATGGCGTAATAATTCACTTCACACTCTAGCCTCTTTACTGCCAGGAAAATATTCCCCGGTATCCATTGGACGGGAAGATGGGACTGGATGCGTCGAAGAAAGAGATTTCTGTCCCTGCCGTGAATCGAACCCCAGCCATCCAGCCAGTTAATTATTATGCGTGCCCCGACACTCCTCACTTTTTCTACATGGAGCTTCCAATAAGATTTAATTCGTCAGGCAGATCCTCACAGATGAAGACATTAAGGATCATCTCTTGGAGTCCTGGTACTAGCGAAGTCCTCAATTTAATTCACTGTGAATTAAAGGACATTCAACGCGCCTCGGGTGTGATAAATCAATATTGAACTACGTAACTATTTCTATTATGCTATGTTTCTCTTCTGTTTCGTTCTCTTTTTGTTCATTCCTCTGCTTCCAGATCATCTCTCCATGTCTGCCTTTTTTTGTTTTTTGTTTTTTGTTTTATGAATCAAAAGCTAGCAGACGCAACGGCGCACAACATGCATGTACTACCACGCCGGTTTCTTCACCAACACTCCAGAGCACGTACGGATACAACGAAACGAGAAACACAACACGAAATAGAACAAAGAACACCAAAATTTCGTATTACCCTATTTTCTATGCGCGCTCGATACGTGCAGGTTTTCTTTCGAATTCAAATTCGCCCAAGTTTTCTTCATTTGTTCGGAAAAGAAGAGAGGTTATTGTTACATGTTATGAACAATTTACCGTACAATGGAACGGGTTCGGTTTAAAGGATCTTCATCTTACTTTCCATTATAAAAGAAGACAGGTTTGTGGCACAATCATGTTTGCGTGTATGTGTTCTATCTGTTTAATGAGTTCTAAACTAGTTGATGGATTTTCATGAAACTTAGTATGAGAGTCATGACGCTGGAAGACACATTTCTTTCATACGTTTTACATCATCATATACAATGCGTTCACTAATAAAGTTTAACGCAAATGTAACTTCCCGGCTGGAACTGCATGACTTAGCGCCTAGCACCACAACATTTTCCCGATCCGAGTGATTATGCGGATAGTTCAGTTATGAAATTGAATCTCGGTTTTACTTCGTCTCCACGTTGTACGCGAAATTTTTAAAAACACAAGAAAGTCGCCAGTACTTGTAAGTATGCCTATAAACAATCTTTATCCTTTTTTACGTGTTTGGCTGCAATTATAAATGAATTATTACATCCTAAAAGAAAAGAAAATGGATTTCATGCTGTCTTTATGTAACTATTTTGCATTATACAAAAAAATTCAATAGTTTTTAATTCATATTCATATTAATATATTTTATTTTGACACAAAAATTATTTATATTCTAAGTAGTCTTGCAGGGACGGTATTGCGTGTAGAAATTTCCAATGATAAGACATCGAAGGAAAGTTTCGTAAAAAAATTAGTTAGTTGGTCCAAAATTGATCGGGGGAGAGACAAAAGGACATTATGTTACCATAAGCTGTATTTATTTATAAAATAAGGAAATTTAAGTTAAAAGTAAAATACATATGAAGCCACACTCGGCGACAATAATTATGGGCAAGTGTGCCTAACTTTAAGTTGAAAGACGGTTCTAGTATGTGACTGAACATATTACAATTACTTCTGTAATCATGACAACAGTTTAAAATCCAAAATATGATACGTTTATTATATGAAAAATCAAAAATTAAACATAGGAAAAGGACAGAAAACGGCCACAAATGACGCTTGTAACATTTCTGACGTAATAACGTGATATTTCGATAGAAATTACCATGGAAACTGGAGAGAAATCTTGCAGCACTTTCCTGATAATACAGGTTTCTGAATTAAACTTGGTTTACAGAACCCTAATATCCAATAGTAATTTAGTATCGTATTCTTAGGATTTGAAACAAAACATCGCCATTCTTTAACGAAGCAGAGGATACAAATGAATGAATAAATAAATAACAGTTTATATTGCTGCATTCACAAATGAACTTCCCCCGCAGTCAGATGAAATGATGTTTGTTAAGTATGCTTTGGGGATGCTCGCGGCAAGCCAGCGAGATACTGCTTGTGTTCAGTTTAATCTCTCTCCCACGAAATTCTGTGGAACCCTAAAAGTCGCTGAATACAGAAGGTTTCATGCCCTACAGCCTTTCAAAAAGTTTCCGTAAATTCTGCAAGATTATACTAAAACGAATTTAATCCACCCGAGAGGGCTTCTTATGCTTTCTGATATACGACGTACAGTAAGTATAAGACAAAAGCGTTAATGTAATCTTTAAACAAGGAGTTCGGAGCAGAAATCTATTTTCACAGATTTAGACTCACAAATTCTGTGTCATTACTATTATAGTCAGATAATATAAATTTATAATTCAGCAATGAAATGCAGCTCATTGTCCTAGATTCACTTACATGTTGTCATAGGTTGAATCCAAATCGGATCATATTTTTATTATGGATATAACTCTAAAGAAGAACTTATTACCGTGTTCAGTTTGTCAGGTATGGTGTCAGAGTTTGTCAGTTTGCCTCCAATATCAGTCATCGCCTTGATGATGGAGACAGTAATTACCTCTGAAACGTCATCAGTTTTATACCAGACTACACAGCGCAAAATTCCGGGAGAATGTTATACCCGCCTCCGTGATAACCTCAACGTTCGCCTATTTTTATGAAGCCTGACACGTGATACTTATAGGAAATAATAACACGTATTTCATTGTTTCACATCATTTTGACTTAAAAATCTAATTGAACTTTTAAGTATTTTAAAATCGTAATAAAATCTGATGAAATGTTTTAAACGACACTTATATTATATGAGTTCTGCTATGTGTAAGTTTTACTCCTTTGATTAATTTCATGGGTCTTCCAGTTGTAACACCGCTTCGAAATGCCAAAAACGAATGGTTCTATAATAGATATAACTTAGTGCCTTGGAACATTGTCACAGCGAACGAGTTACCAGTCTCAGCATATTGTAATGGATTGAATTTCTAATCTACGCGGAAACTTAACATATATCATGGCTAGAGAGACAGTTCTCGTTAAAATGAAGATTGTTGTTCCCTACCGTTCTATCGCCGCCATATCTTGCGTCCACTACACTGAGGTTAACAGCAAAATTTGCAGAGAGAGATTCCACTTGTTACCTGGAAACAGACAGAAGACAAACATTACAGAAGACATGGTCCGATCAAAATTATTCTGTAGAAATGGAAATTGTTTATTTCCCTGTATCGAAATACATACGGAATCACATTTTTCCCAGTCAATATACTGGCTAATTTTCAATCATTCCTAGGCGCTCAATTTGATAATCTTTAATGTTTGTATACATAAACGCTTAATTTATTATTATACTTATATATTATTTAAATCTTGTCCGTCTAATCACAATAAAGTCTTATTAAATATTAAAATATTACAATAATTAACATTTAAACATTTAAACATTTAAAATATTAAATGATGTTCTTTATCGAAATATTCGATTTACATTAGACCATCATTTTTTCACGACATGTTTCAGTTCCTAAAAGAACTATCTTCAGGTGTATATAATTATATAAAGATTCAAATCAATAATAACTTAAATACAATTTCTATATATTATTAGTGTACATTTTTATTTTAAATATTTAAATGTTAATTATTGTAATATTTTAATATTTAATAAGACGTTATTGTGATTAGACGGACAAGATTTAAATAATATATATTTATTATATCACAATATGACGCAACTTTACCATCTCATTATTGTACTTAATTAAGCACAACGCCATGAAGACGTATGGTGTAGGTAACATCGTTAGCTTCATATTACGGTTGCTTTACCATCTGGGAAGAAGTCCTCGATAGCTATTGGATAGAAGGCTGCGTGGACCCCAGAACCGGTCTGGACTTGGTAATAAAAGAGAACTTCTGTCCATGCTGAGAATCGAACCTTCTTAGTCTCTATATTATTATAAACTATTTTCAATTTCTTTTATATATGTGAACTGTACATACGATAAATTAGTCAATGCTGGGCAATAACTCTAAGAAAAGAAATCTCTGCTGCTTCTTTTGTTAAAAGCTAAATATTTTACAAAATAGAAAGTAATGACTGTCAGCTGCAATATTGACCTCTGCGTGATAAATGGGAATTCGAATCTTGCAGCGCGAGCTGACGGCCATAAATAACAACACTACAATGGAGATTCTTCTGAACATGAGAATGATAATGCTACCAGCTGTTATTAGTATCTGGAAGTATATCTGAGCCATTTGTAAGAAAGTAATGTTCAGACCAAACAAAAATTATGACGGCTGCTGCATAAGACTGGTTCCAGACTTAAGAGATTTGCTCTAAAATTGCAGCAATATAGGAGACACGTGTCAGATTGATGAGTTCGTGAAGTTTAACACGTCAGCAAAGACTGTATGGACGACGTTTTTGCAATGTCCTTGGACTCTTATTACAAAATCCGAAACTAAACTCAGAACGCCAGAATGTATTCTGCTGTATCATCTAACAACACGAGGAATATCACCTCATCATGCAGTGGGAATTATAAATATTTGAACGGTCGTATCTTGGAAGAGAATTAAAATCATGCCACAGTTTGACGTGGTAGTCTTAAAGCTAATGCAAAATAGCTTTATTTAAAGATGGCGTTTCATATGGTAAAAGCTGTTTTTCATAGATTCCTATATTGAGCTACATTAACTGCAGAAATGAGCAACTTAGATAAAGCAGTAAACACTTCTGACTTATTTCGGGAAGTTCCCGGTTCAAACCTCGCTTTAGACACCAACTATGCTAACTATGATTCTTGTTCTCAACAGCACCACTAATTTTGTTTGTGTGCTAGCTGAAGTTGGGTGTTATGTCTCATGTATAAATTTTAATTTTAATTATTTAAGGCTTGAAGCGCTATCGTAGACATCTGACAAGGGGTGGTCCTCCAGGTTAGTAGTTGGGCGACTGGTAAAACGTCTTCAATATAAAAAAACAAATCATGTTAAGAAATGTTACACAGGTCTTCTGATTTTTGGCTGTTGTGAACACTGTAATGAATATTTTGGTTTCATAAAAACTATGATATTTCTTCACCAGCTGAGAGACTGCTATCTTCTCAAGAGGTACTCAGTTTCATAAAGTTATGCAAGTAGTTACAGTTATTGTCTTCGTTGATTTGTTATTAACACGCTAAAAGTACTTTACGTAATGATTTATAACATTTTCTTCTTCGAGGAAAGTTTGTTTAAACTTTATTTGATACATTTTATATCAGTCGTCTTCTAATAATGCGAGATATTACAAAACAATGTTAAACACTGTTTCTACAAGGGGGGCGTGAAGTTCGAAGTTAAAGACTGTGGTAACAAACCCCCATGCCATTTAACCTCAGCGCTATGGTGGATCCTACTGAAGTAAAATAGGTTAGACAGACCGAATGTATTTTCATTTAGGCCGCCGTTCAGCATTGCCACATTGCGTCGAATTCCATACAACTGACGATTCCATTGATTACTAAAACAGTCGAAATTAGGTGTCATACACGTGTTGTAATGCTTGTTACACATCTAAACATGCATACTGTTGATTTTAAAGTAATTAAGTGTAAGGAGGGCCCGTGAAAGGTTCAGTTATAGTTACAAACAGCATTTGGTAGTTAAAGGTAGTTAAATCTAAAGAATACACAGCACAGAAGTAAATATTGATATCCGGTATCTGGTTTCGGGGTAGCAGGTCTACTGTAACACGATCATAGTCGCTTAAACATTACGACGTTTGGTCTGTAAATTGTCTTCGTTTATTTTAAAAGAACGCCCTTCCAAAAAAAAAGCTTACAGAAATTGAATGCGACAGGGGATAAATTCAGAGTTAAAATTAATCACATTTAATCGTTCAGTATGCTTCAATGGTTTTCATTAATAAATTATACGTCTGTTACGCAGACAGGAAGATTAAATATTTTAACCAAGTAAGAGATTAGAAAATTTGAACAAATCTGAATAGAACATGTTTGAAGAACGGAAGATGAAACGATGAGATACAAATACTAAAATATATGTTGTGGCAGAAAAGCATGTTTTTCAAATAACAATAACTCAGCTGATTTTCAAGTTAAAAAATTTTAATTACACAGAAAGAAAGGTTCTACAATGCAGTTTTTGTTGAACATTTTTGAATTACAATCTTTTGGATGCGACCCTCGTCAAGAAACACTGGAAAATAAAAAAATAACAAAGAACGTTAAGAGAATGTCTGGCGAATATTAAGTTTTCTAAAATTTTCTTTAGTATGAGACCAGTTTTAGTCTCCATGGTCTATTTAATGTCGATCTAAATTGTATGCGTTATATTAATTTCATATAATAGAACGAGGTTGAATGGTACATCAGACACAGTTTAGATAGAGGTAATAATGGCTTCTTTTAAAATAATCTCTCACTATTTTCCTTGAGATTTTTATAAAAAAAAGGTACATCCCCAGTTAGTCGGTCTCTGAACAGAGACTCAAACTCGTAACTCCTAAATACAAAGCCGAAGTGCTAAATATTCAGTCACGATTTTCCAGCCTTCACGTTAGCACAACCTTGGTCTTTATTTAAGGCTTCAACCTCAATCGGCACTTTGTTGGACTCAGAACAAAGAATCTAAAATTCAGGTCCACGTGCTGTAATATAGTCCTCTCTAATTGTCTAGATTATTCTGATATTATCACATTGACTGGTGAATGTAAGAAAATTACGTCGTGAATTTCCAACAGAATAACGTAACGGAAATTAATTTCGATATTATCTGCGATTTAACAGCTGTGTCATTTCATCCAGGATCTTATTTCTTGCCACTGTTACAGAAAATCTATAAGTTAATACAATTAGTGATAACGGATTCAATTTTTAAATGTCGCTACGAAAGATATTTAAAAAAGTAATAAACAGTTGTTTCAAAGCTGATCCCATACCCTTGTACGGTGGAGGCATCCGACGATAGGTCGGGTCCTTACTACTGCAAGCAGACAGCTGCCCCTGTTTCTAAAATAACATCCTGAAGAGATCAGCTTTTAAATCAGTAAAAAAATAAAGGAGTACAACGATAAGAACATTACGAAGACCATTTAACTCTAACGATAACCCCCTTGCTTCTGTAATGCATACAATCCTTAAAAAAAACTGTTTAAGTTATATTCAGATGTCTGGTGTGTTCCTAAAAATAATTATGATTTGAAATGTTTAAAAAAATATAGTTTAAGTTCGAATAAGTAACTTATGGTGGATGAGAATAGAAAAATATCGCATGCATTAAAAGTAATCCTTAAATTTTGGTAATAATAACAACAATAAATTTAGTGAAGAACTCGCGAAGCTTACGATTATTAACATAAATTTGTCTTTAAACCCTACAGACAGATCAAAGCAAAACGTTACTTCATATTTAAAGACTTCATGGTCTGCCTTTGTGTTTAAGTACAGTTAGCAGGCCTACATAGTTTAAGTTCCTATGGGTATGAGTAGTAAAATCAAAGTTTCTCACTGTCTTAATATTCACAAATTTTAAACACGTTATTAACAAAAATTCTACACAGAGTTATTAGCGAGAGGATTATTTAAATTTAATACTATAAATTATGAGCTTTTCCTGATTTTCTCTTAACCAAAATAATTTTCCATTACTGAGCTTGGTCTGTAAGGACTATAAACTTATTGTAAACTGTGTAGTTCTAACGCTGTAAGAAAATTATCCGGTACCGTCAACAGACGACTTCATCGTGTGGATAAAATACGACGATTTGGAGGCTTTAGACAACATCTTCACGCTCAAGTAAAAATAAAAAGTCTATTCTGTGGAGACCGTCAGATAAAGCCAGCCCTTATCACCAGACTCTGAGGTAGTCGAGGGGGTGTATTCGTATGTAAACACAAAAGGGAGATAAGCAACACGAAATTAAACATAAACAGTGGCGTATCGAAACAAGATTTTTGAAAAGAAAAGCAAAAGTTAAAAAGGTATAAATTTGTGTTGAAATTTTTTTCACATGTAAGCTTAGAGTAAATTACAAAAATTCTTTTTACTTCTGTACATAGAATCGACATTAAATTTCTACATTATTAAAATAGATCTTAAATAAACAGGATACGATGTAGACTAGGTTATT